GGATGATTTTTTAAAAAATCCTTTTACAATTAGATCCTGTCAGTCCTGGAATGTAAATCCTCTTGGGCTACTCTTTCCTGAGGAATACAACTGACCCTTGAACAATGTGGGTTTGCATTGTTTGGATCCACTAAGATTCAGATTTTCTTGAGATCAGCCCATCCTTTTCCTCTCCTCCTCAGCCTACTGAAAGTGAAGATGATGAGGATGAAGACCCTTGTGATGATCTATTTCCACCTAATAAACAGTAAATATATTTTCTCTTCCTTGTGATTTTCTAAATAATATTCTCTTTTTCCTAGCTTACTTTATTGTAAGAATATATTATGTAATACATGTTGCATACAAAATATTTGTTAATATATTTTGTTATTGTTATTGGTAAGGCTTCTGATCAACAGTAGGCTATTATTAGTTAAGTTTTTGGTGAGTCAAAAGTTACATCCAAGTTTTCAACTTCATGGGGGGTCAGCACCCCTAATCTACGTGTTGTTCAACGGTCAACTATAAAATGAAAGGCCTGAACTGGGTCCCCAAAACAAAGTGCCATCATCACCTCACTTTACAGGATTTTCTACAGTCGCAAAAATGAGCCCATTTTCCTGGAACCGGCCTTTGAAAAACCAGGAAGCTTTGAAAATTTGGAAAAGTAGTCATAGGGATATTAAGGCTTCTTTTAACCCTGATTTTACCTTTTATGTTTTGTTTTTGTTTTTGAAAGTTGTTCCTTGCCACTTTTCTTTTGGACATTTCTTTTTACCTTGATTCAAAAAACAAAAATAAAAACAAAAAAATTTTGATATTTACATTTGAGTGGACCTTTTCCAGTCCATGTACTGACTTTTAACAAGATCTCTGTGAAAGGTAAACATAGGCTTTTTTTTTTTTTAACATAGTTTAAGTGTGTCCCATAGGATATTAGGGCTATACACTAAAAAGATTCTATGATTATCTAAAATTCATATTTAATTGGTTTTCCTTTACTTTTATTTGCTAAATCTGTCAACTATATTGTTAAATGAAGAATGAAGGATCAAAGAAAGGAAGAAAGGTTATGCAGAGTGATAAGGGTGCATCTTGTTATTTCCCCCTATATGGCGACAAGTATCACCATACTGTGTAGTTTTTTTTGAGCTTTTTTTGTATGCTTTGGAGAAACATGTAAAATTTCCCTCCGTATTTGGGTCATTTTAGTATATTTGAAATTTTTACCCCAAATGTTGAAATTTTTTGTTTTTTTTAAAAACTGAACTTTACATATAAAAATAATATATGACAAAATGAGTATGTTGCTAACATTTTGAATCTATGTAAGATCACATATTGGTACAAATTGAGGAGAGATCCATTCCAGAGAGTGTACAATTGTGTATCTTAAAGTATTTGTTGAACTGTGTGTGGTCTTACCCAGGCAGTTGACCTGGAAATGTTTCAGCTTTGTCTAACAGAGCCTGGTTCTTGAACAAAGTCTTCTAGGTACTAAACTTTCTCAGAGTTGTCCATTCAGCAGTAATTGAGTCTATAGTATGGAGAAGGCACTGACTTTCATCTGTTTTCTTGACTTTAAATCACACAATTAATTCTTTTTCTGAAATTATGTCTCCTCCAGGTTTCCTCTGAAACTCACCTCCAGTCATCTTTGGATAAATTTACCAAGATATTCATTTCTTCTTCCTGCATAAGTCGATAAGCTGCACTCACATGGTGATTCTCAAGGACAGAGCGATCGTTATACAAAATGGCAACATCTGACCTAAGAATTAAAAACAAAATGCCCAGTAAGGGATTTCTTTAGACTTCATGATTGTCTAATAAAAAATGCTCAAGTTTCAAGTCATCTCACCAGTAAAAACCCCGTAATTGAACACTTAAAATTATGGAGGGACTTAATTTCCTTTTTTTTTTTTTTT